CCAGGGGGGTTGTTGAGAGGAGGAAGAAGAGGAAGTTCCCTGCTTGAGAACAATGGATCCTACAATTATATTGTGTTTTCCGGTGGAGGGTCTTTTCTTACACTCCTGGGGCTGATCCAGGCTGAGATTGGACTTTTATTAACTACCATGGAAGAGATTTTGGGACATTGCCCTGATGGGATCAGAGACAATTTTCGACCAGGCAGCTTTCCTGGAAAGCCTCATCCTCAAGAATAATTAGTTCAACTTCTAACTGACATTCATTATGATATAATGCCATTGACTGTCTACTGCTAATGTAGCTATCATTTGACTCTGTTTTTACTTGCTGAGCTGGTGCCTGATGGGTTTCTCGGCATCTTTGGGCTAGCTGCTATTGCGCCAGGTTGCTAAGAGATGGTCCATTGAACACGCTGACGAGTGTTTGTTTGCTGGCAAGAAGACTTCCCCAACTTCTGCTGTTTTCCTTCTCTCTTGTTTTTTTACACTTCACAGTGAATGGTGAGGATGTTTTCATCTTCCACTGAAAATAAAAGATGGTGTTGAGAATTTCTTTATCCCCTCTCCAGATCCCCAAGTTCTTCTGGGCTTGGGCCATTGGATTACACAGCATGGTGGCCTCCAACTAGAATGTGGATTCTGGCCTGTCTACACAATTACATGGCTTATTTTTCTTTCAGGCTGAACCAGTGATTTCATTGGTGTCGGCACCTTTCAGTATGGAAACTACCTCCACCAGTATAAATGGGCAGCTCGTCAATAACTTAAAAGTCCCAGAGGGTTTCCTGGAACACTGGGAAATCAGTAATCTTCTCAGGGTCATACTCATAGGCATGATGCCTATATAGGTTTCCTGGAGTCTATGACTGTTTTTTTAAAGTCATAATTCTATGTTTTGTTTTGTTTTTTACCAGATTTGTGATATCATGGATATAGGGAACTTCCAATGAGCAAATTCCCTCTACCAATGCATGAGATTGCTCTGGAATATATAGTTTTAGAAGGTTGCCCTGGGAAAGGGAAAAGGAAGGGAATAAGAATTTGTATCACACTTACTATGTGCCAGGCCTTTTACAAATATCATCTCATTTGATCTTACAATGGTCCTGTGGGGTAGGTGATATCATTATCCCCATATTATAGTTGAAGAAACTAAGGCAAACAGAGGTATTTTTTAAAAGTGATTTGTCCAGATTCATACAGCTAGTGAATTTCTGTGGCTGGATTTGAACTCATGTTTTTCTGCCTCCAAGCTCAGTGCTCCATCCACTTCAACACACTACCTCAAGCATTTACTAAGCTTCTGTTAGGTGTGTGGCCCTGTGCTAGGCCCTGAGGATACAATAAGAGACAAAAAAGGAAACAATCCCTGCCCCTAAGAATCTACAACCTATTTTAGGGCAAGTAACATGTACAAGGCATTACAAAAAAGGAAATACAAAATACGCACGAGGCAAATACCAGCTAATTTGGAGGCAGAGGTGGGAGGAGACACGGTGGAAGGCTCAGGTAGCATGGGGTCCTTGGCCTTTTGAAGGAAGCTGGAGATCCTTGGGCAGGAAGGAAGGAGAGGGAATGTTGATTTTGGGGAAAGGTTGGTGGAGCACATTGGCTGAAATAAAAATGTATGAAAGACAGTACAGTAAATGAATCTGGAAAGGAAGGCAGGAGCCAAGGAAGGACTTCGAATGCCAAGCTAGAGAATTTGTATTTTCTCCTAGATGTAACACAATTGGAAAGAGAGTGGAAGGGTTTTGTATGTAGAAAGAAAGGGACAGATGTGGGGGACATCGTGGAGACAGATCTATGAGACATGAAAAATGGCTGGACATGGGAGGGAAGGGGTACAAGGCTGACTGTGAGGGCTCAAATCTGGGTGACTAGGAGGAGGATGGCTCTCATAAGAGAAAGAGGGAAGTTTGGAGGCCAGCCAGGTGCCTGCTGGGTGTGATTCAGGAGCCTAAAAGGGAAAGTGTCTTAAAAAGGATGGGAGGCTTCTAAAATGAAATTCTGATGATGTCATCACACAATAGTCCAATGGAAAGGAAAAGAAGATGAACCCAAAGAATTCGACATGGCTAAAATGGGTGCTCAAAAAGGAGTGATCTTTAAAGAACTCATAAAAATTATGCCAAAAGGAATATCAGGCCAACCTTTATGCAAAAAGAATGATACTGAGCCAGGTAAGTGAAAGGCTCGGAAGACATCCAAGTTTTCAAAAATGCGAAGGAAAATAGAAAAGGGATGTTTTTCTCCTCCTGTCTCTCCTGGAGCAAGAAGAACAAGGAAGTGGCAAGCCTCATCTTGGACAGATGCCGTGTAGACAGATGACACAGAGAAAGCAGAACTACCCAATTCCTACTTTGCTTCTCCCTTCTCTGTCAAGGATGGTCTTCCAAGGAGATGAGAGAGAACAAACATGGTTATAAGGAAATGATGCACAAGATCAGTGAGGAAGATGGTAAAAGAGTACTTCCTGCAGAGCCATTACTTTAGAGCTGAAAGGGACCTTCAAAGTTAGGCCAACCCCCTCATTTTACAGATGAAGAAACTGAGTCTCATGGAGGGAAGTGATTGGCCTGAGGTAAAAAAAAATTAGTGGCAAAACCATATATCTGTTCTCTTTTGAGGACCAAACTATTTATATTCCAAGAGGCAAATTGTTAGGTTGACCACTGGGGGAAATCAACTTTTTGGCTAAAGGAAACCTTGAAGATCATTTACTAAATTATAGAGGGATTGATAGTTCATGACATAACAATTCAGATCCTTAAAGTATTGAAATTTGTTCTGTTGCTGCGACAAGAGAAATCTATGAATACTGTACTATCACCTCCAGCAGCAATGACGAGGAACAAAAATAAAACACAGTAAGGTAGGAAAGCTTCTGAGAGTCTTAGGTACTGAAGAGTCTCCAGGGCACAGGTTCTCAGCTCGATTTTGTTCCTCTATTCCAGGTGCTCCCCTTGCATCCTCTTCTGCTTGGCTTGGGGTTTTGCTTTCCTGTCTGTGTATGTTGGGGGAGGAGGGTGGAAGCCTTGGTGACCGAGGCACAGGTTTGGTGCAGCTGCAGCTCCATGGGGCCACTTGGGACCGCTGCTAGGTTGAGGCATGGGAAGGAACCCCCATTGTAGAAAGCTCTGTTTCCCCGAGAGATTTTCTGGGACGGGGCCATGTGTGTGCGTGTGTGCGTGTGTGCGTGTGTGCGTGCGTGCGTGCGTGTGTGTGTGTTGGGAGAGAGCCTGAGTTCTCTAAAGGTCTACAGAAAGAACTGAGCAAACAGCAGCTGAGATTTATGAAGGTTTCTCAAACCTTATCATTGTATAGTTTGGGGTTCTTTGTGAAATAGGTATATTTGTTTTCTTATTTCAACTTCCTATTAATTCTGCAGGGCAGTTGGAGAAGCTATTATTATGTGCATTTTAGAAATGAGGAAATTGAGGAGGTGACACTGTTTTCCTAAAGTCATACAGCAAGTTAAATGGCAGAGTTAATGACCTAGAACCCAGATCTCCTTATTCCCAATCTAGGGTGTTTTCCACATGAAACAGTTTAATGGATTTGTTCTGTATCTCATTGATGTGGGTACTTCCTCTAATGATGTAGATTGCAATCTGGCCAAGTTTGTCCATCTTCTATGACTTTGGTCCATGCCCACAAGGGTCCACCTGATGTGCCTGGGGTCTTCCTCTGGCCCTATTAACTTTCTCTGAATACCAGGGAAGCACATGGGCTACCCCCCCCTCATCTCTTGTCTGTTCATCATTGAATGATGCCTTCTTACTCCAGCTGGGAGTGGCAATAATCATAGATTTCTCTTGTAATGGCACTAGAACATATTTCAATAGTTTTAGCACAAGAGGATCCTGACTTCATTTATGATGAGCCTGACTTCATTTATGGTCACATGTCTCCTGACATCCTTCACTTTGCTTTTCCACCACTATACTTTGTGTGTGTGTGTGTGTGTGTGTGTATGTGTGTGTGTGTGTGTGGCAATTGGGGTTAAGTGACTTGCCCAGAGTCACACAGCTAGTGAGTGTTATGTGTCTGAGGCCAGACTTGAACTCAGGTCCTCCTGATTACAGGACCAGTGCTTTATCCACGTCACCTAGCTGCCACTCACCATTATTCTTTTTTAAATACATGTTGTAGCTTAAAGGGTCACTATGTCATTTTCCATTGCCCTGGTGTGGGGGGGGGATGAGAGGAGAGGGAATCCACAACTTTCACTCTTTGGAAAGAGTAACTCACAGCTCTAAGCGCCAGGAGATTATTGTCTTTTAAAAAGCTGGCCTTTTGTTTCAGGGAGAAGCTTGGGACCATGAAAAGCATTGTATACTCCCAGCCTGGTCTCCTCCTCCTGTCCAATTCTTGGCTTGGTTCATTGTCCATACATGTTGCCTGTCCTAGATGTACTGATGGACCAGCTGACTACCCTAGTTTGGACAATAGATACTATTCATCGAGTGTGTGTGTGGTGTGTGTGTGTGTGTGTGTGTGTGTGTGTGTGTGTGTAGAGTTAGGCTAAACTTATTATAGATACCATTCAGGAGACTTTGCAGGGATTAGTGCAATCATTACAGAGAAATGGCTGTAGGACCTTACTGGCTGTCGTTCTATAGGGAATCCCTCTTAGATCTGGAATCTGCACTGGACCCTCTCCATGATGCTGGAATCGGCAAAGTGTCCAAGAACTAGGGGGAAGGGGTCTGAAGCAGGAACCCCTCCAGAGACATACTTAGGTATGACTGGATTGGACTCTGACTTTTGGTGACTGCCAAAAGCAAGATGTACAATAATGGTGGTGAGAGTCAGTCAACAAAAAAAGCTTTTATTAAATGTTTACTGTGTGTCAGGCACTGTGCTCAGTGAGAGGGATTTAAAAAAAGGCTGAAATTGTCCTTCCCATGAGGAACATATATTCTAATGATGGAGACAACATGGAAATGCTCTGGTACCTTCAAGTTACGGTTACAGAAGGGAAGTAATCTGGAGGGGAGGCGTTAGCAACGGGGAGATGCGGGGGCACAGGGCAAGGGCCTCCTCAAAAGGTGGGCTTTTTTATTTCCTGAAGAATGTGAGGGAAGGCGAGAGATGGAAATCCCAAGCAGGGCCAATGGAAAGGCAGGGGAGAAGGAAATGGTCATGTTCAAGGAACCGTGTAGCTGAATGCTACGTCACATGGAGGGGAGCAAAGTGTGAGAAGGCTGGAAGGGTGGGAAGGGGATAGGAAAAACTGTTTTTGATGAGCATGTTTCCCTGCCTTATGCACTGCTTGCTTATAATAATGAGCAAAGTTCTCTTTGTTTTCCTTTATTAAGTAACTCTCATTTAGCTTTGACTTATGTGGGAATCGTGTGGATGGAGCAGGGCCTTCAAGAAAGTCTGCTTTATTGAATCAAATGCTTGATTTAAACAGTCAATGGAGAACAAGCACAATGGGATCTTGTATTCTTAAAAGACTTTAATCAGTCATGTGACTAAACATCTGCAGAGTAGTGTTTGCAAAAGCCTTCCTGTTCCTTCCTCATAACCTTCACTGAGGGTGTCCATGGTGCTTCTGGAGATTAGTCTCAGTCTTTTTATGGAGATTGGAAAGTAGGTATGGATCTGCGGTCAGTAATATTTTCTTGTTCCACTGCAACAAACTGATGTCATATTTGGTCTTCAGCAAATCATTTAACTTCTCTCTATTCCAGTTTTTCCTAAAATAGAGGAAAACAGCATCTCATTTGAGAAGATTGGTGATTTTCCCAAGATTCCTGGAACCAACGTGCTATGTCCATGTAAGGTGTTATTTTGACATTAGAAAGCAGTAATAAATTTTGTTGGGTATCGAGTTTCAGCAATTAGAAATGCTTTCTTTGATATCTAGCTTGCCAAAACATCTATACTGGTGTTTCCCTAAATGGTCCCTTGGGATTTTTAAACTTTCTGTAATTTAAGAGGCAGCTGTAAGGTGGTGGATAAAGGGAACAGGACCTGGAGCCAGAAACACCTGGCTTCTAGTTCCTCATCTGACTTATACTGGCTGGGGTCACTAGGTAAGTCACTCAACCCCTCAGGGCTCTAGACCACCCTCTAGGACTAAACATTGTTAAGAAGGCACCTTGGATTGGCAGAAGGTGTTTTTCTCAACCAAGGGTTTCTAATAACAATGAAATCACAGGTTCAGTCCCCATCCTGTCCCACGTATTGTTCTTCTCCCAAATTGATCTCAGTATCTACCTCAGTGGTTCTCAAACATTTTTGCATTAGACAGTCTTTGCTTTGACAGTCTGGTTAAGCCTATGGATCCTTCTTAGAGTTGTGTTTTTAAGTAGCTGAAGGAAATGTTAAATTTCAGTTAGAGGCCAGCAAAAATAAAGATGTGATTTTTTTTCCCATCCAAGTTCACAGACCCCCTGAAATCTATCCCTAGATCCCCTGGGGATCCCAGGGTAAGAACTCCTGCCTAGTCTTAAGACAGAACCTTTATGCCAGCCAGTGGTTGATATGCCTAATGGGAAGTGAAACTTCTACCAAAACTAAAAAGGAAATGAAATGAAGTGATCTAAGGACAGTTGTCCTTGAAAATAAGGTCAGAATTGGCAAAGTGTCCAAGAACTGGGGGGAAGGAATCTGAAACAGGAACCCCACCCTGACATACTTAGGTGTGACTGGATTGGACTCTGACTTTTGGTGACTGCCAAAAGCAAGACACACAATAACTTTTAAGTAAGCTTGCTGGCTTTCCACAGAATGCCAAGGTACACACCTCTGCCCTCACTTGCCACCTGTTACTCAACAGCATCCTGCACTCTGTTTGATGCCCACGCTAATCGGTTCAGGATTAAAGCTTAACTGTGCTGGGGAAAACAGGAAAGCAAGGGAAAAATCCACTGAACTAGGAGTCAGGAGATTTGGGACCTGGTTTCAGAAGCTTCATTGATTTGACTTGCTGACTACCATGGCCAGGGCACGTGACCCTGCGCCATATTTACTGCCATTTTCTATTTCACTGAGAAGGTGGGATGGCTGTGTGTGTGTGTGTGTGTGTGTGTGTGTGTGTGTGTGTGTGTGCACGCGCACATTTCCTCATGAATGTTGGGATTTCTCTTGTAAAACACAGTCCCAAAGAACCCTTGAAAGCATATGAAATTCTGGCAGTAGAAAAAGCCAAATTACCTTTATAGGTACATTTTTTAACCTCATCTAAAAATTACCTAGAGGCAGGAAGACCTGAATTAAAATCTGACCTCAGACACTTACTAGCTGTGTGACCTTGGGCAAGTCACTGCACTGTTTTTATGTCAGTTTCCTCATCTGTAAAATGAACTGGAGAATAAAATGGCACACAACTGCAGTATCTTTGCCAAGAAAACTCCAAATGGGCTCAAGAAGAGTTGGACATGACTGGAGTCAGATACAACTGAAACAAGTTAACAACAACAACAACAACAAATGATTGCCTGACCACATTTCCAAAAGTGGTATCTGCGCTCATCGAGTAAGATGGAATTTAAGTAATCATCTAGGTAACTTGCACTAAGACTTCCTTTCTCAAACATCTGAGTAAAACAATAATAATAATGAATTTCTATGGCACTTAAACTTTACACATTGCTTTATATACATTATTTCTTCTGAGTAACACAACAGTTCAGTCAAGTAGTGAATACAAGTATTTTCCCCATTTTACAAATAAGGCAACTGAGGTTCTGAGAGAGGTAGTGACCTCAAAGACTCTATCTACACTGCCGCTTGGTAATATCCCATTAAATCATTGCTCTGACCTCAAAGGTTTTTGGACCATTTCCTTTATTCTTCCTTTTCAATGTTTTCTCTGATCAGATAGGGCTTTGCTTTCTAGTACTCCCTCACTCCCTCCTTCCCCTCTCCCCTTCCTCTCTGACTTCTTTAATGGGAAACAGACTGTGCTCCTGGAGGGGGAAGGTCAACAGATCTGAAATTTGGTCTAGACCCTTCCACTCATTTGTCCTATGACCTTAGGTAAGTCTTTTCACATTTTTTTTTTGCGGTGTGTGTGTGTGTGTGTGTGTGTGTGTCTTAGTTTCTTCCTCTGGAAAATGGCTATAATGAGTTGCCCAGTACTGGTTATATACGCTTTCCTGGTTTTTCTTTGTTACTATCATCGATGCATTTAGATTTTCTTAACAACCTCCACCAATTTATCAGGCCCAGAAGATGCAAAGATAAAAAACCCAAACCCAAACCAGACCCTGCCCTTTGGAGTTGCCATTCTGCAGGCGAGTGGAGGAGGGGAACTGCATTTACCAGATAAATAAGTGCCAGGTAGCATTCCCATCGAAAGACTTCAGGGAAAGGCAGCCAGTCCCAGGTTCCACCACAGCCAGGACTTTAAGGAAGCTAGGGATTCTGAGAGGTTGAGACGAGGAGGAAATATCTGCCAGGTATTTAGGACTGCCTGTGCAGAGCCTGGAATGCCATGTAGGGTACACTGAGTTTCCTCCCAGGCTCAGGTGATTGGCAGCCTTCACCTGGCAGCTGTTGGCAATGAGAGAGGTAAGGAAGACACAGCGTCATCACTTTCTCTCTGTCCAATCTCTATGATGGTTTCAGGATATTAAAAGTGACAAAGAAACTGCTGTCTTGTCTGTCTTTGCGCTCTTCCCAGAAAGAAGAACGTTCTTCCCTTGGGGATGAAGACCTTGCCAAGGTTTTCTAGTCATTCCTCATCGACTTGCTAGGACTACCAGCCATGCCAGATATGTAAGAAGTATCCCAAATCTGGGATCCTGAAAAATCTAATTAAAGTTTAACTTCCTTAAGCAAATTCTCTCCCCAGTTCTCTGAAGCTAATGCAAAGTAATAAGAAAAGTAAGGTCTTTGGGAAAGGCTTCAAATACTGGAGAACAAGTCATTTTCAACACCTCTCAAGCCCTTGAGAAGACAAAAGCTAGCATTTAGATTGAGCCTTAAGGTTTGCAGAACACTTTACAATTACTATCTTTTGATCCTCACAATCACCCGGGGAGGTAGGTGCTATTATCTGAATTTTACACATGAAGAAACTGAGGTAGACAGAACAGATTTGAGCAATTACTGTTTAAAGCAAGACTCAATTCAGCTTTTTCTAACTCCATCTCCACTCCTACTAAACCCCTTAGAATGATTATTTGCAAATAAACACGTGTGACAATTATGAATTCCTCTTTTTAATTTACTGGAACTGGCCCCCTGTAGGTTCTGTAAGCCTTTGTTGGCCTAGTTTGAATTAGGGTTCTTAGTTTTAGAAGGAAGGAACCCCAGAGGCCATTTTCTAACCCACCCCCCTCATAAAGATGAGGAGACTGAGGCCCAGTGAAGGGGAAATGACTTTTCCAAGGTAATTATCTAGGTAACTTGCACTAAAACTCCTTTTCTCACAGGTAGCAAATAGCAGAGCCTGGATTTGAACCCTCTGGCTCTAAACCGTGGTGAAGCAACAACTAAAAAAGAATCTAGACTTTCACTAATTGAGATTGCTCTCCACATTAACCAGAACTGTCACTGATTTGTTCCACCCTGTTTTTGAAACAGTTTTGCAGTGGAGGATGGGATAAACCACAGTAGAGAGATCTTTGTTAGTTGCATGCTTCTAGGCCAGGTGAGTCAGGATCTAATCTCTTTGCAGAGCAGGTTAATGAATCACAAATGATTCCTTAGTTCTCGGCTTTGAACTTGTGCTCTGGCTGTTGGTAGGGCAGCCCAGTGGTGTCAGACTTAAATAGGAAGGGGGGAGGGGGCCCAGGAAACTGTACATGAGGATCCCCGGGGCCACCAGCTGACCTAGAAAACAGCACATTAACATCTACATTCTATTGTATTTTTATTTAATTTACTAAATATTTTCCTATTACATTTTGATCTGGTTTTGGCTGCACTCGGAATGTAGAGACACCTCGGGTTGATGGGCAAAGAAAGGGAAGGTTGTGCCCTCTGAGGCTGCCATTCTTCCATCTCCTACAAGCAACGGGCTGCAGCTTTAGCAGACCAAAGGAAAATTCTTCATTCTAAAGAAAGCCTTTGGAGCAATTCCAGGTCAATACAGATTAGAGTTGAGGGAGATAAATATAAATGCTTACTGACTGATTAACATTAGTTGATTATAATTTTTCTGATATAGGGATGATAGGGCTAGGAGGGCATTATATGTAATAATAGCTCACATTTATATAGCAGTTTACCATTTGCTTTCTTCACCAAGGAAGCTGAACAAGGAATATTTCCCCATTGTACAGATAAAGAAACAGAGGCTCTTTGAGGTTAGGTGACCTGCCTAAGAGTTAGCATGCATTTGTCTACCATTGCCATTTCAAGTCTTATTTATAATTTTTGTGTGTGATTTTATTAGATATAGAATAATAATAACAGCTGGCATCTACATAGTACATTAAGGTTTGCAAAGCACCGTACGTATGTGATAGAGCAGGTGTCAAGCTCATGTTGCAGCCCAAGCCATATTAAAATGTAATTGGGAAATAGTTAACAAAATAAACATACAATGAAATAGAGATAATTTTAATATGTGGGAGTTTTAAGCTTCCCTTCTAGTTTTATTTTTATTATTTTTTCAACATCCATTTTTATAAGATTTTCAGTTCCAAATTTTTTTCTGCTTCCTTCCCCCTCCCCAAGACAGCAAGTAATCTGATATAGGTTATACATGTGCAATCATGTAAAACACATTTCCACAATATGTGGTTTTCTAAGCCCACCCCCCCCCTGCACAGGAATTCTCATTTGAGTTTGACACCAATGTTATAAGAGAACACCCAGTGTAGAAACTCTCTTTATTTATGCAGATAAAACAAATATCTGTAATGTCTGTTTGTTGAATTTTCAGGATTAGCTACTGTTAGAAGGCATTTTGAGGGACAGTGGACCCTTTCTTGTTCCTTAAAATCAAAAAGCCTATAGGAGGTCACTGAGTCAAATCACCCAGTGGTAATTTCCACAAGAGCTTTGTGGAACAATGGGGTACAGTAAAGTGAGTGCTCAGTTGAGAGTTAAGGGGGCCTGGATTCCAATTCTTTTTCTATCAGTTACTAAGTGACCATGGTGAAATCACTTTGACTCTTCAATTCAATTCAATAAACATTTACTATATGTCTAGGTGACCCAGTGGAAAGAGTGCTGGGCCTGGAGTCAGGAAGACCCGAGTTCAAATCCAGCCTCAGACACCAGCTGTGTGATAATGGGCAACATGCTTGCCTCACTTTCCTCATCTGTAAAATCAGGTGGAGAAGGAAATGGCAAACCACCCTAGTATCTTTGCTGAGAAAACCTCAAACGGGGTCACAGAGAGTCAGACGTGACTGACCAAGAACACGTGCCTTTCTGGACCTGCCTCAAATTTTCTTCTCTGTAAATGATGGTATTGGACTAGATGTCTTTAAGGTCCTCTCTGGCTCTAAACCAATGATCCTGTGAGAAGTGCAGCCCGATGCTGGAGACCAGGCTCCAGTGGTCATCTCCTGGGACCTCTCTTCCTCTCCCCCCTCTCAGGAATGGGGAAGGCCTAAGGCCTCCTGAGCTCAACAGACAACCACTAGATGGTGATCTCCAGAATCCTGCTCCTTATGGGAGATCTCAATTATTTTAGTAATTATTTACAAAGCTTGGCTACGTTTAGATACGTTGTATAATACTTACATTAAACAAGACTGCAACAATTCTGGGATTTGGCTCAGTTCAATGAAGATGTACTAAGTTTCTTCTAGGTGTTGATGTAGAGCATCGAAAAGGTGGCGCTAGCATCCAGTACCCATCAAGGTGTGTCCATCAGTATCTAGAGAGGTAGCACCATTTGCTGAATATTGAAGCTGATCATTATTCTTTTGGGGTGGGGGTGGGTTAGGCTTTTTTTTTTTTAAACAGGAACTTTGTGGTGAGAATACCCTCAAGTCCTGGTTGTGGTTTGTTCTTTGTTCTCCAAGAGGACCATGATATCAGCGAGATGATAACAGGGCTTGCAATTGACTTTGATTTGAGTGAGGGAGGGCTGTGAAAGGTCACCGGCCTCATTTTCTCCTCCAGAGCCATCTGGGTCTAGCGGCCAGATATACATTGGGTCGACTGGAGATGGCCCAGGATTCAGCGGGCGATGTTCGGCCCCTTTTAAGCTAAGGTCTTTTCAAGAGCTCACTTTGAGTGAGGCAATGTCCATTCTGTGAATAGGCCTCTTTAAGAAATGAATCAAGGGATGGCAGCTCTTACAGGAAAAAAAAAATCAAACTGGGAGGGGAAGACCCTTAGAGTTGCTGGGCAAAAGAGAAACAGTTACTATTTACATGTACTCTGAGCCAGGAGGGCCCAAAAAATAACCATTAGTGCTGCTTGGGTAACCTTTTGTTGTCTAGCCTGTGAGCTCCAGAGTGAATTTAGGTTTAAGGCTTGGTCTTTGAGAAAGAAATCTAGCCAGTGAACCCCAAGTTAACTAGGTAGCTTTTGGTCGGTTTTCCCTTTCTTTAGCAGAACACCCTCAGGTCAGGGGAGAGGGGTAAGTAAAGGGTAAGCTTGTGCTTCTTGGAACAAAATACAACTCACTCTATCCTCAGAATGCACAGAATTGCTCACTGAATATGTGTTCCTCAAAGATTAAAAAAAGAGTAAATCTAATTTTATTTTAAAAGGTAGATGAAATGTAGGCAAAGGGCAGAAATAACATCAGTTAGATTACTCCTTAGGAATGGCTTCACCTAATTTGTATCTGGTTTCCCACACCTACATCATAATAAAAGTATTTTACCTGTGCTATCTCATCAAGTCCTTTCCACAACCCCTGGGAGGGAGGTGCAATCAATATCTCTACTTTAGAGAGAAGAAAACTAAGGTTCAAGAGGTTAGTTGACCTGCCCCAGGTAAACACCTCCTCCTTGTCTAAAGGACGATTAGAACTCAGGTTTGACCATGTAGAGAACACTTGCTTTAGTTTCCTGTTCATCAGAATTCTATCTTGCTTGTTACCCCCTTCACAATAATACTTTTATTATACAGTGCAGGTAATTTTTTTTTAAGTTGGAAGGAACAGAGAAGACATTCATTTTATGTCAGATACTAGTTAAACTAGCCACAGGCCTTGACCATGTCACCATTAAAATGATTATTTTGTATTCTGTCATAATGCTCAACTTAAGTAGATCCCAGGTTCAACGATACTAGAATATTGGCTATTTCCATGACAGGAGAAGTTTGCACTCAGTACATTTTGGGGTTTTAATCTTCATTCTTTATCACTACCGCTGTCCTTAAGAAATGGAACGGATATCATGCAATTGTAGCTGTCACATGTTGTAGTTTTATTTCAAGACAATGTTTTATCATTTTGGGGATGGAAAAGAATGAAATATAGGGCTCGACTTTGTGAAAACCTTCTGACCTAGTCCTTGCTGGTTTCCAACGTAAGCCTTAAAGTTGCTTAAGGACTGTTCTAGTTTTCTTATCGTTCTTTGCTGGACCCAGCCTCAAGAGGTAAAGTGATTCGGGTTATTTTTGAAGTTGGAGGTAGTTAAGCCTAGAAAACGCTTCAGTGGAGAGCACTGTACTCACACTCAGCCGGTAGAGGCTTAGAGGCAACTGCCCTTTTTCCTCTCTCTGGTGATTCAATTATTGCTTCCTCCTTCCGGCTCAGAGCTCTGGTCCAATTGAAAGAGCGCTCTATTTAAGAGTCCCAGGACCTGGATTCAAATCTCACTACCTGTGCGACCTCAGTCAACTCCCCTTTTCTATTAAAATAACGGGGTCGTTTCCAGCTCTGAATTTACGAGCCCGTAGGCATTAGACCCTCTAGCACTCCTCGGCCTCCCCTTCGTCCCGAGCCTGCCGTTCGCGGACTTCACCACGCTTCCTGCCGTCCCGAGTGGGCACGTTCGGATGGGGAGAAGCTTCCTGGGGAAGGCTCGGGGGTCCCCGGCCACGCGTGCACGCCCGGGAGCAGCCGGCCGGCTCGCGGAGCCCCCCCAGCCCGCTTCCCCGGGTGGCTAGAGGTGCGCGTGGGCCAGCACGTGCCGACCCCAGCTCTGCCGCCTTCCAGCTAGACCACGACCGGGACACCTGGTCCCAAAGTCAGTCGCAGAGCCCAGGGGGCGGGGCGGCCTCGTCCTTGCCGGCGGCTGCCATTGGCTGGCCCGCGCGTCCGTCCGGTTCCTCGGGGCCGCGGGTCGGCTCCTGGCTCTCCAGCCCGGAGCCCCAACGGACCGGAGGCGCGGGGGCGGGGCGGGCGACGCGTCATCGCCGGCAGGCCCCGCCCCTCCCCGGCCCCGCCCCCGGAGGCGGCCCCAGCCTTCATCCCTCGAGCTCCGCACACGTTAGCCCCAGTCTGTGGCCTCCCTCCTCCCCCTTCCTCAGCCATCCTCGAGACCACCTCCGCCGCCGCCGCCGCCGCCGCGGGGAGCCCGCCGCCCGCTGCCGCCCTCGCGCGCGCCCCCGCCTCCGCGCCCCGCGCCCGCACGAACGTTCGTCCGCGTCCCCCGCGGTCTCGTCAGCGGCAGCGGCGGCGGCGAGAGAGAGGCGAGGCGGCGCGTGGGCCGGCGGGCCGGCCATGGAGGCGGACGGGGCCGGGGAGCAGATGCGGCCGCTGCTGACCCGGGTAACGACCCTCCCACCCCAACAGCCCCCTGCCCCGCCCCCCCGTGCCAGGCCCCCCCCCACGCCGGCCTCCCGAAGCCCGCCACACAAAGGCTCGGCCGCCGCCGCCGCCGCCGCCCGGCCCCTTTGTGTGGGGCGGCCGGGCCGGCCGGCGTGGCGGGGCGGGGCGGGGCGGGCCCGCATCCCCATCCCGGCTCCCTCCCCGGCGCGGCAGTCCCCGGCCCCGAGCCCCGGGCGGGGCGGGGCGGCGCGGCCGTCCGGCCCCGGCGCCACCTGCCCCGCGCCCCCCGTGAGTATGCCCGGAGTATCTGGGCGGCCGCGGCTGCGCCCGCACGTGCCCCTGCCCGGGGTCGGGGGGCCTTTGTGGGCCGGACACGTGGGCGTGGGGGGCGCGTGTGTCCGGGCCCCCGGGGTCTCCGCCCAAGCCCCCTCCTCCTCCCCGGGACCCGCCCTCAGGTGGGCTCCTCGAGGCCTCTGACACCGACTTCCTGCTCCTGGGGAGACCGCGCAGCTGGGCCCCCGAAGTGGTCTCCCCTTCCGCCTCGCCGGGACTCGGAAAATCGGGGCTTCGTGGGCTCTGGCTGGGGGTGGGAGGAAGAACGGTCCATTCGCGGGGTTTCGAGCCCAGATCCTCCTCCTCCTCCCTCCTTCCTGGCCTCGGGCCGTTTTCGCTGTTCTTTTTAATGCGGTTGTGTCTGCCTGGGCTGTCATCCGTCTCTTGGACGAACTTGATTAAACAACCTGAAAACACCCAGGGGAAACCGAGGCACAGGGAAGCGAATGGTTTAGCAGGAGTTGGAAGTCAGGATGAGGAAATGAGGGCAGGGTGACAGACCAGGAAATTAACTGGTCTTGTGTGGTCTTTGATTAAAACTGTCCTATCGCTTGCGCTTCGTACTTTAAGTGTGTATGAGATTGGGTGGTGTCTCTGCTGGAAGCTTGTTAGGGACCACAACGCCAGGAAGAAAGGTAGTGCTGGTCAGACTTCTTCAGCCTGTGATAAAATGGGAAACTTGGGGGCACGTTCCGGGGTAGGTTCCAGCCAGGTGGGGGCCGGGGAAGGTCATAGGTGTGAGAAGTGTACTTCGGCTCTATGCCCTCAAGGAGTTTACCTTCTCCTTGGGAAGAGAATAACCGAAACAACCCAAGAAACTGTATACCCCCAAATGATGATACAGCCAGTAATTGCTCGCAGAGGTCAGAGAGAAGAAATAGATGAGTGTGCCTAATTATGACTCCTTGGCTCCCAGGAAAACCAGCCCTTCCCACATCTCTCTGATCGCTTGAAGAGATGGCTGATTGCTGTGAAGCTATTCATCAATTCTCACTGATGTTTCTCTTTGACTTAGAATAAGGCAAAGAAGTGGTATAAAAATAGCGTCGCGCTTTGATGTTCTCTGCATGCCGGCAGTTGTCATCTAATATGGAAAAAAATCAGTCTGTGTACAATATTGTAATCTATTGGTCAGTAATCTGAGCTCTCAGTTTCATGCCATAATTTGATCTCTTCCAACATGCTATGATTCTAGCTGATCATTGGCGTGTGGGAGTCATTTATCTTGGGAATATAACTTGTTCTGCTTAAGTACCAAAAATGAGTCATTGTAGTCAGATAACAAACTTTCAGTCTTCTCTGGTGCTGTTTAAAGCCTGTATCACAAAAACTCTGTAGAATGACCAAAAAAAGGGAGTCTCAAACTGAATGCTGTGATTGATTTATTTCAGGTAAATGTTTAATGCAACAACAATTGCCAGTAGAACGACAAAAAAATTGAAGTTTTATGTAGATTTGCCTGATGGGTGGAAAACAGATGCTGCTATTTATATTTTCAGAAATGATAGTAAGAGAAAAATTATGAATTTTATTTTTATGAATTTTTAAATGAATATTTATTTTATTAATCCTTTTTTTCACTGACCAAATCAAGCTAACCTTTTTGGACACCTGCTACGTCCACAGAACTGCTGGGGGTACAGAAGGCATAAAAAACAGTTCCTGTCCCCAGGGAATTGACAGTCTTCTCATAGAGACAAAGCATGCATATGTACAAAATTAAATAGCAAAACACATCTGTAGAAAAGATGTCAAGGCAGTATATGCTTCATTGCTAGATTAATTATGCAGAAAATAATAATGGCTGTAGGAATTCAGAGTAGGGAGAACTCACCTTAGATCAAGAATTTTTTCCTTTGTATTGGATGGTGCATTGCCAAAAATGAATTGGCTTCTTCTTGATCTTTAAAAAAAAAAGCTTTCTATTTGTTATTTCACAAATGATTATATAAGTAGTGTGGCAAGACAAATATAGCAGGATTGTAGTTACCTCTCTAATTATGCTTATCCTTTCTTGTCTTAGTAGGCTATCTACAATAAAGGGAGAGAAAGAGAATCTTTCTTATATCCAGATGGAGGTGGAAAAAGATTGTTTGGATTGGTGTGGTAGAAATGTTTATAGTATATGGGGATTTTCTTTTGAGTAGGGGTAGGTTATGAAAATTCAGGTATTTTGTTTTGTGTTATTGTAGTTTGTTAAGATTCTGTGATTTTGGAGAATTCTGTTGTAAGTTGCAAAGAGGATTCAGATCCCAGCCTCCTTTTACTAACTGATGAAAATGTTATTCAATCTCTCTTAACATTAATATCCTCATCTGTAAAAGGGGAATAATTAGTATAAAGTGTTAACCTACATCTTAGGGCTGTTAGGAGGAAGAGTATTCTAGTATTAGAGTGCTTGGCCACAGAGGTGTTTGTCAACATCCTGTAATGAGGTGGCATGCTTCCTCTTTCCTGCCCCCTGTCTTATGTTTTGCCACAAATATGATATTTAAATTAAATGGGATATACAACTGGCAAAATAAAAAGAAAACCGGGTGTTTCAGAGTTATTGTTGTTTCCTTTAGCAGAAAGTGACTTCTGATTTAATGTCTCTCTATTTATTTAACTGCATCTTTTGTAGCTGCTGATTTTTGAGGGGTACTTTAATTTTCATAAGGATCAAAGAGAGAGCTTTATAAGTCTGTACAAGGACAAACAGTTCACTTTTTGAATGAGTTTTTTTTTAATCTTGGGATAAAGTAGGAGTATTTTCCTACATAAAAGAAGGTAACAATAAAATTTTCACCTGTTTTTGTACAGTCAGTGATTTTATTTCATTGAAGGATTACTTGAGGCTTACAATTTGGGGAGATATTTTAGGAATATGTTGACTATATCACACCCTTTTTGAAAAAAAGACCTATTGGGACCTTAGTATGAGGCTGTGTTTGGAATTCTACTTACTATTATAAGCTTTTATTCTTAATAGCAGATGGTCATGTTAACCAATGAAGAAAAAGGGGATGTGAACTTTAAAAGGAAGAGCCAAGATTAGACCAGGCCAGAACCATCATATTGTCCAGTCATAGTTCATTTCCCAGGAAGCCAACATTTTGGGTACTTTTATTATTAAGTCGCAACCCAGGTTAGTCTTGAATTTTACATGTACTCTTGAGCTAGTGTGGTGGTGTAGATAAGCCCTAACTTGTACATTTTACAAAACAGATTCCCATTGCCTCCAACAAAGATAACTCTGCATTCTGTTCTTTAGGTTAGAGTCTGGGTTTCAGTAGATTGATTGTAATTGCCTGCATTCTGGATTGAAGATGTTAATCCCTTTTCCTGACAAAGTTGTTTGTTCAGATCACCAGTTAATCTAGACACAGAACTAACTTGATGTTCTTGATTCTGCAGTCACACCTTTTAGAAGTCTTTTTTTCAAAAGGACCAAAGGGAAGTAAGTGTGAAACCCAAATCTGGAGAGTGACAGCAGCTATTACTGGAAAATTAATCAATTCACCAAGTGTTTTCTAACAAAATAAACTATTTCCTCTAATTTTTAAGAATTATATAAACTACTACTAACTTTAATTTTCAAGAATTATTGGTCTTCCTCATGAGTCTTATGGACTAGTTTATTCCTGAATTTCTTTAGGTTCCAAGCTCAGGGTTGTGATTTTTTTTCTCCTGTTTTTTTTTTTGACTCCAGGAATGCCATTGTTCATTAATTCTCCTATCATATTTCAATTCAAACATTTATTCAGTGCCTGCCATATACAAAAATTGGAATGCAAAGTTTAAAAAAAAGAGCATTGTTGCTCTTTTCAAGGAGTTTATGGTCTAGTAAGACAGGTGATCTCTTCTAAGATCAAGTGATCTAGACTTTTAGATTGGATTGAATCTCTGCATGAGGTCTTTGAAAAATGAAAATATTTTTGAAAATTCATTCATATTTGTGAGAGGCCCACACTTTCTTCAGCTTTACACTTGTGTTTTGGAATGCTTTCTATAAGAATATAAAGAAAAGAAAAATTAATAATGTTTTCTCTGGTTATTTGCTTTGAAGTAATTATTTTTATATTTTATGCCATTGGACCTAGTAAGAAAGATATAATGACATACTTTTATTAGATCATGATTTATTCTAAACATTTTTCAGTTGGGGAAAAAAAGACTAGATGATATCCAAGAATTTCTACTTTCTGGAAATGGTACATTCCTCTAAAAAGTTGGTAGCAAAGAACATTTATATATAAAGGAAATCATCTTTATGCGAACAGTAACAAAGTGTTTCATTAAAAGCCAACTTCCCCCTTTTGTCTCTGTCTCCATTGTCTCACATATGGTAGGCACTTAATAAATGCTTGTGGATTGGGTTTTTAGTTGAAAAATTTTGGTGAAGAGTTTTAAGATTTCTTTGTTAGTTTGCAGTGTAGGCTACACTCTTTCTCTAAACCTGTCCTTGTGTGTAATTTACACATATTGTATTATTTTTCAGTGTATACCTGTGTATATCTTTCTCCTCTCAAAGAGATTTCATTTTAGGTCCATAGTCTAAATGGCATAGAAGTAATATGTTGATGATGGGGAGTTGTCAGCTGTCTGGATCCTGCTATTATTCACTTAACATTTACTTTTTTTTTAAAAGCACTTTGTGGTACTTCCTTGGTTTTGAGTTCTTCTCTCCTTCTAATGCAGCCCTTTTCAACCTCAGACCATAAGAATTTCTCCCATGGTCTCCTGATCTTCATTGACAACTGCAAGAACCTTGTACTTCTCTCCTTTTGTTTGCATAGAGGTATACTGCAAATAACTGCTCCCTGGTTGGTTTTATCTGAGGTGGGTTGTGTTCTATTTTGAAAATTCTTTGAATTCATTGTTTCTTATCTTATAAGATGAATTTAATTGCATCATTCATTCTGTAAGTGAGAATTATTATAAAATTAGTCTAATTTTAGTAAGTTGCGTGAGGGAAGGGCCTTTTAGGGGTGGGGGTTTCAGTGCTTCGGTAAGTACTTAGTTAATAGATGTTTGTCGAATTTGAATAAGGGATTGAATCCTTGGTCTGCTGGTGTGGGGATTCTTTGTATCCTAGTTGACTTCTAAGTTAATTCTCCATGCCTTCTTATCCCATGTGATTCTTGACCATGTCTTTCTGTAAATCTCCCTAACAAGATCCACGCAGTATACTGGAATCTTTCTTCTCTCTTTTTAAAAAATAATTTTGAGTACCAATGTAATACTAAGGCCTTCCTTCTACCTCTTTTACTCTAGCTGTATTGTTGACCTTTTTTGTTTATATATTTGATGCCTCTCATATCAGTTCTTATAATGTGTATAAAAATCGGTAGAATCCTCATAATTGCATTTCCACTATTTCGAATGGAATCATTATGTTACTTATTGAATTTTGTTCTGCTTGATAGCAGTTTGTCTTTCTTACCAGCTCTTTATGGATGCTTTGGAACTGTTTTCCTGGGCACATCTTACCTTTGAAATGATGATGCTTTCTTTTTTTTTTCAGATGCCACTGTGTAGTTACAAGGTATTTTTTGTTAAAAAGTGGTTACTTTGTCTTTGCAGTTTGCTTGAAGGTTCAAAGTCATGGTTATTACTCTTGGCTCAGGTTGTAGTGATTTTTCTTTTTCTTCCTTTAAACTTTATGACACATAGAAAGCACTAGGGCAGAAAGCTAACTTTATGAAACTGGTTGGTATTCCTGGTGGTTCTAATGAATGATGCATGTTGTTTGATGTTAAAGACTGTGAAAGAATAATTTATTGATCTGGCACATGAGCTGTTAGCAGTATGGATCTTTTTTCTTCTTGTATAATGCTCAGATTTGCTTAATTTTAATAATTTAAAAGTTATTTAGAAAACTTGTCAAGAAAATGCTCCATCTTCTATTCAGTGACAGGCAAACTCTTAATATTTGGTTGGTGTTTCAGGGGTGGTTAGCACAGATGGCTATTGAAAGATACTCTGATATGTCTGAATCTCCTAATCTGTTATGTCATAAAGGCACCACATCAAGACAAAAGTTGCTGATACACATGTATCAGTAGAGTGAACATCTGAATCACATAATGTGCTTAACTTGGAGCTTTGAGTGCATTCGACCTTTGGAAATTATGAGTTTGCAGATTACTAATGTGCTGACCCACCTCTTGTTTTGAGTCACTTTCTATCCAGGGGTTTTAGGCTGGTGGGGTATTAGAGTGAGGGAGTATTGGGGAGAGATTGAGGATGATATTTATGAATGAGTATTTCAGGATTTGGAAACAGGTGCTTATTTTTATTGATTTTTATCATCTAAACTCTCATTTACCCTTAAAAAATATATCAGAGATCCTGAAATCTAAATATGTGAACTTTTTTTGCCTAGATTAAGAAATATTTGTGTAAAAGTAAATCAGAAGGTTTAATTATAGAAGTAAGCATTTTAAACGTTATTGTACTTTTGCTGTATAACTATTGTCCTTATACATTTATTTAGCCTTTGCTTCCTTCTTTTCAAGAATTTACAATAAAAGTAAGACTAGGTATTAGAGTAATAATGCTAATGGTTTCATATGTATATTGCTTCATTTGATTTGATCCTTATCTTTGGTAGTGGGTGCTGTAGGCTGGGGCATTGACTGTGCATTCCTTAATGCTGACCATTTTTTGAAAGTCTTTAAATTTACATCACTGTGATCTTCTCTAATGACCAAAACCTTGTTTTGAAGAGAAAGGTTCCATCCCAGACTCTCAGATCTAGGCTACTGGACCGGGTTGGGGAGCAGAGGCCCAGTACAAACCAAGCAGAAGCTGAAGGCCAGCAGTCTTTGAACTGCAAGGACAGAAAAGTGGGGGGTGCCTGAATGGGAAACCAAGGCTAGTTCTTCAGGGTGCCGATTGTGAAGCCAGAGGCAGTGATGGTGCCCAGAGAAAGCTAAGTGAAACCCAGGAGCCCAGTCAAGCTTAGGAGAACCTCTGGGATCTGAGAAACAGGGTAAGGAACAAAGGCTTCAGTAGGAAGTGAGAAAAAGGCTGTTTAGCTAAAAACAGACTTCCAGGTTGTGATTTTATGGATACATAAATGTTCATCCCTAAAAGCTGGAATGTAGTTGGGCCCTCTGCTTCAGTTTCCCATGGATTTCCTTTAGCAGAAGAGCACTTGCAGGTCTCATTATTGACCACAACAGTGGTGCTATGGCACCTCAATAGGGAGGGCATTTTTTTTCTTTCCAGGGTTTCCTTGCACTCCAGATCATGTGTTGCTAATTCTGTGACCGGAAGGTAGTAGGCTGGTTCCCCAATCCTCTCTTTTGACCACCAAGAGTTTTGCCTGTGTCAGTCCTGGGGACTGCTTTCTTTCCAGCATTGCTGAGGAGTGTGGGGGTGGTAATAGGTCCTGGCCTGGGTAATTCTGGCTCCCTGTGTTGGTGGGTAGGGCAGAGACTAGTGAAGTACAAGGGGCATTTTTATTGATTTGGGTATTGGGGTTGGTGGGCTACCACACTTAACTTCTGAATGTTGAGAAAAGATAACAATAGCTAATGTTATACAGAAATTAAAAGGTGCCTAGATTATCTCATTTATCTTCCTTGTTTTGTTGTCTTGCTTCTTGTGGACCTAGTCTAGGCAGAGGCTTCCTGTGCAGGGACTATTCTGGGGTGCTCCCAGTGGTCCCTTCCCCTCCTTCAATGTACCGTGTCCTTTCACTTTCCTAAAACCATCACTCATGGTCGTATCCACTGGATTGGCCTTTAATAATTAGCCAGTAGACACAAGTAGCTTAAAACTAAGGCATTTACTAAGTAGATGTCATTGTTAGAACCATAGTTAACAAAAAATTTCCCATGGCAAACATGAGGCTTTCTCACCTATGGCTCTATATACTGTCTTTTTTTCCTCCCTTCTGGCTTTGTGGTGCTTCTCTCAGCAAAATGGATTTGCTTGGCAGATTGCTCCGTGGGGCTCCCTGGACCTGTTGTTCTGTGTGCCTCAGCTTCCCCATTTAGGGCTGGCTTTCTTCTGGCCTGCCAGCAGTGTCACCCCTTAATTGTCTGGGGTCCTAAGGGCTGCTAGGCCCCTTCCTCACTGAGTGTGGCTTCTTTATTGAAGGAGTATTTCTGCTGTGAAACCCCATGGCTATTTTGGGAGGGAGACAGGTAACTTTATCAATGCAAGGTTAGTATTCTAAAGAATGCCTTTTCTCTCATTTCTAAGGAGTGGTTTACTTCTGAGATACTGAGGGAACTTAATTCATGCCTGGATACATTAACTGAAAAAACTTATCTTCTATCAGCTTTTGAATGTGGGAAGCTTTAAGTTGTTACACCAAGGTAATTTTTTTTGGTTTGTTTTCATTTTTTTTCCTTTTTTCTTTTTCCCAATTTGGTTAGGCAATAGGGTTAAGTGACTTGCCCAGGGTCACACAACTAGTAAGTGTCATGTATCTGAGGCCGAAGTTGAACTCAGGTCCTCCTGAATCCAGGGCTGGTGCTCTATCCACTGTGCCACCTAGCTGCCCCCAAGGTAATGTTTTAAATACCTTTTTAATTCTAATAGGCTATTAATGAATTGATTAATCTGTTATTTTGTCAGTTTGGTAAATAATATAACCTCTTACTTCTGAACTAGCTAGCTTCTTTACCAAAGCTGTTTTCCCCAAAGCATGGATATATAATATGTCTCAATCTCTGTCTGTATCTCTATCTCTGTATAGATTATGAGTAGAATGAATTTTACCTCCCAGTGCTTTCTTAATGACTGAGAAGGGTGGTGAACATGAAATCAAATTACATAATTTCATCTATCAGTAACATGAAATTTTACCCAACTGAAAATGACCATATTGATTGAATTGTCTTTTTCTTTTTGCATTTCAGATATATGAGGATTAATTAATGTAACAATGTGTGTAATTATTGAATTTTAACATTTGTGTAATATTCACCTCCTGAAACTCAGTATTGTTAGAGAGTTTCTTAAATATCATGACAGAATAAATGAAAATGACAAGAATTGGAGAATGTCTTACGTTTTATGTATATAATCATTCTAGTATAAATGAGATGTTTGTGTCCAATAGATGGTGCTATTTCCTTTTTTTTTTTAAAGAAATTAAAAAGTACTTAGGCATTAGATTTTTGGTATGGTTTCCTGTTCATACATTTTTCTTTTTGTTTTAATATTTGTATCTTCATACTTCAAAACATGATTGGTTGAAGAGAACAAGACAGGTTTAGCTTGGAGAAGAGAAGATTGGAGGGAGGGGAGCACATGATAGTTGTGTTTCACGGGTTGTGATGTAGTAGAGGAATGATTTAGGCTTGTTCTTTTTGGACCCAGAGGGCTGACCCAGGATAGGAGCAGTGACTGGAAGTATTCAGGCTTGATATCAGGAAAAAACTAACCATCTTAGCAGTGCAAGAACAGAGATGGAGGGTTTGTTCTTTATGGAGGGCTGGCCACCTGTCAGTAGGCCTGGTGTTGGATGAGGATTCGTCCCTGGGCATGAAGTGACTTTCTAAGCTTTGATTCAGTAGCTAGTAGGGCCTTCTTCATTTCCTCATCTCCTCTTTTTCCTCCAGGAAGAAGTGGGCAGGCCTTGTTACTGGGCAGTGCAACAGTGCACGTGCGTTCGTTTGCTTGCCTGTGAACTCTTTTTTTTTTTCTTTTTGTCCATGCTGTGACCACCAAGAGCATTCTTCTTTTTCCCTCAAGGTGCTCTTGATTGAATGTTAGGACAGGGCTTAGTTATGATCTCTGAGTTTTTGGACTAATTGGTCTGTCTTTTGTCAGGAGTAAGAAATTGGTTCAGGAATCAAGTTTGACCCTTACTTTTTATT